AAAAATAATTTTCCAAGTTTTTTTGCTATAGGCTATTAAAAGAGGAAACAAGGAAGCTGTATCCTAAATTGTAACTGTGTTCAATGTTATTTGTGGCTTTTATTGGCCAAATTTTTGTCCTTTTACTAAATAATTGTAAAAAAAACATATACAAGATCATGAGTATCCTTAAATAGATATAAAAAAATGTCAAATGTAAAAAAATAAATGTCAAATTTTTTGACAGATAGAATTTTTTAAACATTTTTTTCATGTTCCAGGTATCTTACCTTACTTGAAAATTTTCTCTGGGGCGCGAGTTCTGGCGCACCCTGTATACGGCGAATACTAAAAATTGGTTTAAAATGATATTTCTAATGAAATACTTGTGGAAAAGCACACCAACGTATAAATTCGTCTGGTAATTTAATGTTAATAGCGAAATTTAGCTTTAATCAACTATAAGTGTAACTTTTATTTAACTGTTTCCTCCTGATATACATTACTGAGAACAAGTTTAATTAAATTCAGGAAAAACGGTACAAGCATCATCCACACCACTAATTAACCTACGACCGCCTCACATTTTGCATAACAGTGCAAAAACAGCCTTACTTCCTCATTTTCTGCCATCATCCCATAACAATTAACCTTTTTGGTGCAACATAAAATTATAATTCGAACGTGACAAAATTTCACAATTTTCATAAAAATCCGCGTAGAATTACATAATAGCAACACCTGCGTCCGGCCAATTCAGTACTTAAAAATGGGATTACTTTCTTTTGTCCCTTACCGATTCTGTTACATATAATGAACTTTGACATATGTTGTGGTAAAAGCAAAATTACTGATAATCAGACAAGTCTGCTGTTGTATGCGTTTAAAGAAAGCGCATTTTTATGGATAAATCATTTGAGTATGATTTCTTTATGCACCGGATTTTCTCCTGCAATATGGTGTATGAGATTCTGGTTCAATTGGCATGGAAATACCAAATTTGTTACGTTTAATTGCACAGAGAAAAGCCAAGTTGTTTTATCGCAAGGGTTCTAACATAACATCGGTCGTATTTTACAGCGGTGTTCCACTTTCATATTTTTTTAAAAATGCATGATTCTAACAACTTTGAATTGGATCGGCTTATTATAAAAAACCGACCTTCGATCACATTCATTGATTAATAATTACCTACTTATACTCCGTCGAAATTATTGGAAATGGAAACTTTCATTCATTCTTAATTTAGCATAAATAAATCGTTCCACCATGCACTTAAATTGTGTAATACATTATCCAATTCAAAAAGGATAATCAGAGATGAGCACGAAACACCTCTTTTCTTTTTTGCCACCGGATAATTGCATTCATTATCTTGTCTCAACAGTTGTTAACTACTCTTGACCTTGTGCTACCGCAAACTGATTGCCGTTTCACTCTGTATATGAGTAGCAGGTGGTTTAGTCATGTATTTATTTTGTTCTGGCATAATTCAATATCAAATAAATGTAACAAAAAATTATATAATGTTCTTCCTAGGTCGCGCATGTCTTGCCTCAAGCATCGCTTACAGGAAATATCTGTAAATACACATTCACTCGGATATAAATAAGTTTTGTTACTGTCACAATTTCAATCAGTGACAACATTGAACAACTTTCATTGATGTGCAAGAGCTTTACATAGAAATCGATTAGAGAGAAAGAGCACTTGAAATAATTATTTTAATATCTTCAAATATGTAGTGATGGGAATTCCATTTTTGGACTCACGTAACTAAACTAAACGGGTGTTTTCAACACAAATAACTTCTTCACAACGATTTATAAGGTGAAAAGCCATTTGTAGAAAAACACAGACGATAATGGTTCAATTTGACATAAGAAGACTTAATTAAGTAATGCCATAAATTTACAGACTGAACATTGAAAAAACTTAATTTATTTCGCACACCTTTCATCTCTAGAACTTACATTTCAATTTATGAGAATGCATTTAACGTGAACAAAAAGCAAAAAAATTAATGCTAACCTTATAATAAATGTAACGAAGAATACACCCCGAATATCTCAGAAACTAAAAAGACTGCAAAAACGCCGAAACAGGTCAATTTTGTTTCCGAGGGGGACAGTTTTTGACGTAATTTTTAAAGCACCTAACCCCCTAACCCCTACGCACCAACTTTAAAAATTTAAATAGCACTACCACCCTACTTATGGCACATCAAATGAAAGCTATTTTAACAAGCTTTTCAAAACTTTTTACCAAAATTAAATCAGACCATCTATTCATGAGATACAGGGTGTTCTAATAAAAACGAATCAGAAAGAATTTACAAAAAAAACGAAACAGGTTAATTTTGTTTTTAAAAAGGGTCATTTTTTACGCAATTTTAAAAGCACTTTCACTAACCCTTTAACCTCTATGCCACTTAACTCTATAATGTCAAATAGCACCAACCACTAGTGATACAAAAAATTAAATCAATTTTAAAATGCTCTTTAAAAGCTTTTTTCCAAAATAAAATGATTTCTATATATTCATAAAATATTGGCAATAAAACTAATCTTTTAGCAGTCAGTACGTACAAATGAACTTAAGAACTATATTGCTATTTTCTAGATACTTACATTAAATTATAAGAAACTTTATTACCCATTGTCCTTCAGTACGATTATTTTGACAATAAAATAAAGAAATAAAAATAAGTTTCTTACAGCTCCAATAATACTTATAACAATATTAGTAAGTTTCTTGTAATTTTTTTAATAGTTTTTATTAGAAGTAATTACTAATTAGAAACATTATCTTTTGCAAATATCTTATGAATAGGTAATCCCATTCAACTTTAGAAAAGAGGTTTAAAGAACATTTTAAAAACACTTTTATTTGTTCTGTCGCAAGTGAGTCGGTGTTATTTAAATTTGAGGTGGAAAAAGTTAAAGGGTTAGTGGGGGTGCTTTTAAAATTGCAAACAAAATTAACCTGTTTCGTTTTTTTTGCAAATTCTTTCTAGTTTGTTTTTATTAGAACATCCTGTATTTTATGAATGGATGGTCTGATTCAATTTTGCTTTTAAAGTTTTGAAAAGCTTGTTAAAATAGCTTTCATTTGATATGCCACAAGTAGGGTAATGCTATTTAAATTTTTAAAGTTAGGGTGTGTGGGGGTTAGGGGTTTACTGAGGGTGCTTTAAAAATTACGTCAAAAAATGTCAACAAACAAAATTGACCTGCTTCGGCGTTTTTGCAAAGTCTTTTTAGTTTCTGAGATATTCGGGGTGGCTCGTTTTTATTGGAACACCCACTGCAGGATAAAATACAACTAAGTAATATACAACTTTCAAATACTATTGCGCTGAAATCAAACTAAATTGAAATTGTTCATAATAATACCCGTTGTAATTTTTTTTATTAAGTTTCATTGGCAGAAAGTTTAAAACATGTGTTTGAAATTGCCTCGCAAAAATGGTTGATGTAATTTTCCTCGTTTATAATAGACTCAGGGAAAAAACTATATTCGTAATACAAATTCAACTTTAGTGCCTTGCCATAGAAATAAGAATTTTAAGACCAGAGCAAATAAAACAAAATAATCCTCTCAGTAAACCGCAATACCGCAAATGGAAAATAATCCAAGCATTTTAGAATGTGTAAATCTTATTTATTACTCCTTGAATAAGTGTTAAACATGCTAATTAACTTTACTGCTGCATCAATAAAAAATAATAAATTCACTCTATCGGTAAAATTAAAATCCGTGACTGGAACATTTAAGTTAATTGATTGAATATTCTTGTTGATAACGAACAATGTGCAGTCAGACAATACATCTGTTATCAAAAAAATTAAACTTAATTGAGTTAAAAATTAATATCGATGATTAATTCAACCCGTACTGAAGTAATTAGTCTTTAGCGAAGGCAATCCGGTGCACTTTCTGACGTAAATAGCTTTATAGCTGCATTATTAAGAACGACAAAAATATCAAAATCCATAAAGAATCCTAAACGGTTATCTAAGTGTAATTCCCAAGAAACTAGAGTAGAGAGACAACCTGCAACAAAGTAATTTCAACACGAATTGTTCCAATTACAGAAAACAAACACTAAATCGATCTATTATTAGATAATCATTGATATTAGCAGTTAAACGATGTTGTTACTTCACGTTTCTGAGATTGGAATAGGTCATGGTTTGTTTAGACGGCTGACTTGTGTACTTTAATTAGGATGATTATCAATGTAATTACAACTGATACTATCATTAAATTCAATAAACTGTTTCACAAATACTCAATACAAGTTATTTATTTATATAAAGTAGATATGAATTTGGCTTCTGTCAATATTACAATTGAATTATTCATCGCAGTTCTTGAAAGTAAAAGTTTCATCAGGTGGGTGTGCTCTTTGAAGACCCAATGTTAATGTATGAGGTAAAACAACACGCCTCAACCTCGAAGCAATATTTTTCGAATTCAATAGCTTCACATTAAATTCAGTGGGGAGTGCAACGTGATCGAATTATTTCTTCAGGAAAATTCACATTACATAACTAATTGCCCACGACAGTATTGTCACAGAAAACCTTTTCAGAAGATAATATTTTAATCGACTAACCTTTCACTGTCAGGGTGTGTCTTCAAATTGTAGCTTCTCACCTAATAAATACTATAATTTTAAGTATTTGTCAATTGATTGTTTATTTTATAAGTCTAGACACTTGCATTCACACTTTCTATACAATTTTATTATAAAAATTGAATCGGGTTTCGATTTTTAGAGACAACTTTCCAGTACTTTGTGAGTGGTATTTTTTTAATCGATCTAATTAATTTAGATATGGTTTTACGTTGCGTTATTTTTTCTGACTAATTATTAATGAATTGGTCCCACATTTTCTTCAACTATTTTTGTAATTGTCTGACGTGGAAGGAAAGTGAACAAATATCGTGAAATTCAAACTAATTAGGTATTGGCAAAAACACAACCAATGCATTCGATCAAATCAATATTTCAGCACTTTAATCGGTTTCAGCATGCAATAGTTGCAGATGACGCAGCTGTAATTTTCTCACGCTCACTAGACTGTCTTCAGACGAAGCGCATTATTTATAAATTACAAATTATTAAAAACACATTATTTTCCAACAATAAGAAAAAACAACAATAGAAAGTAGATTTTTTATTATTTTAAAATTTATGCTTCTACCATAATTAATATACATTTGCATATCTAAAATAGCTGCTGGTAGGAGAAATGGAGACATTTGAATAAAATAGAGAGCGAATTGTTAAATGAAACTTGCTCCAATATAACAACTCTGTCAAAGAAATTTTCTTTTAGTCTGATAAGTAATATTATTTTAAGGTTATATATCCGTAATGGTTGTTTACGTAACTGATTTACTTCTGAAAGTCTGAAAGAATGGCAAGTTATCCACTCACGTCTTCACCTTCGAAGCCCTTTCTTTCTCAGTTGCATGTCTCGTGTGAAATATTTTGCGTCCAACACTACGCAAGGATAAGTTCAAAGAGAACGAGACCTCATTTCGATTTTTGAACAATTTCTAATTAAATTGCAAAATCAGATCTAACTCTTCGCACTTCAATTATAACAAATTGTGGTCATTCATGTGTGAATCCACTTTCATCAATTGTTGAATTAATTTTTGACACAATACTTCATTGCATTACTCGTAATAGATTACCTTTACCTAGTTTAAATCCGCTTTAATTAGAATTTGTATTTATGAGTTTTTAGCAAAAAAAACCCGAAATGCTCTAGTTCTTTGCGGTAATTATTTTAAAATATTCGTATCGAGAGGCAAATAGCTCATTAGGTGTATAGGTGGGTGTTGCATAAAATTGGACAAAAGTCAGGGTCGGTTTAATGCAATTTTTGCTATCACAATTTTTATGTAATCGAATTTTGGGGAAATTATTTATGAACCACAAAACCGCTACGAATTTGCCAAGAATGTATGAAAATTATACTCATTATGCAAGTGTTAATGGTTGAGTCCACACACGATTTTGAATGATATTGATATTACTCTGACACAGATCTACAGATTAAGAAGGTCACTTAGTGCTTGAGATATATTATATTTTCTAATTGCACGTAGAGAATTGCATATTATTATATTTCAGTCACACAATCGCAAAGGATAATAAGTTTTAAATCGATCGCAATCACTCTAAGCACTAAGGCCATTCTGTTTTTTAATGAGATCAGTGTCGTTGCATTACTTCCTTATATAATACTAACATAATTGCATTTTAAATAATTTGAAACAAGATTAAGAACTTTATTAAACTCAACACTTAATGAAATTCTTAATTCAACACAAGTAGTTGTGCAATCAATTTTAAATTATATTTGAACTACTTACAAGAAGTTATTATAAACTTCTAATAATTGACTCATTTCATCGATTTAAGAGGATAAATATTACATGAATGATCCCGTCAGACTTGACGTCACTTTATAAAAATATTGATCTATTTTGAGGGTTTTCAAGAAGAAGTACATACACGTTGCTAATCCATTGTTTAAAAATAACGATAGTTATTTTATTAAACGAGATAAAGGTTACACTAAAAATACCACACTTTTTCCCATATTGCTAGTAGCTGAAAATTATCACTTCTCAAAAATAGGATGAGTAACAAAGTATTCCAAATTAGCTTGGAAACCTGCAGTGGTTTTGGACACATTCAAAGAGGGAATAACCACATTATCTTTGAGCTAGTAGTCACGTAGGAAACTCTTTTCATCGAAGTTTGGAAATTAAATTAACATTGAATCAGATTTTTATTAAATTACGAGTATCTATATGGCAATTCTAAATTTGTAACAAAAAATGTAATTAAATTTTTTCTGTCTCCTTAACTGATTTTGTTAATTAAACTTTTAATTAGATCTGCATCCTAAATGACTAAAACCACCAAAAACGCAAACCTTTCTAACCTTTACCAAACGAAATTAACAATTACCCATTAAAAAATTATCATTGCATATCCTTACAACTCAACAAAATCTTATTTGTTCCGGCTGTTTCAAGGTTTGGTGTCGAGGTTCCTCCCGTACATCATTATTTAACAAGGGTTAATTATAATGAACATGAATAAAATATAAGCGTCAGAAAACATAAAAAATTGATAAATTATAACAGCTGGAAGGGAAGAAATGTTTGTTTTATAAATCAATTCGATTTTGAGGTTCTAATAACTTTCCCGAGCGACATTCAATGTCGTATTTAATTGAATTAGGTTAATTTGATAGTATGAACATGTAATATTTCAATTTGAATCAATTTTTAAATGACCTGATTTTAAACAATTGTATTAGTTTTAGATGTAAATAAATAAAATTAATAATAACTCGAAATTATAATTTTGTAATTTTCCCAGACGCTATTGAGACTAAATAAGAGATAATTATTATCGCTTGGTATATTTACAAGTACATTGATCTTCACATAAATTAATTGTAATTGGTAATACTCGTAAATGCAACTATAAAGTCAAATCCTCTCAACAAAGCATTTAATTTGAAATTTTGCAATAACTGGTGATCCCATTTTTTGCGTAAATTGCACTGTTTACGTTACGGTTTTTTAATTATTTGAAGTAATTAGAAAGACATAATTTAATTGCCAGTCTGTAATAAAATTTTAATTTTACAAAACCAAAAAAATTAATATTAATGTGCAACCCTTGCAATAAATTAGACAATTAAAATTTAAAACAGTGGAGAAACGGAGAAACGCCGAATTTTTTGCATTATTAGAAGAAAGCTGCATAAGTTGCCAATCACGATTTCATTTAAATCGTTATGACCGTGACCGCACGTGACCACAGCTCTCAAAGAAACAATAATTTTCTTAAATGTTAGAAGATTACAGGCATTTCTCGATCTTCTAGGAACATTAATCAGGTGTTAAATGCAGATGTTAAACCAACAGGGAGCGACATTAAAGTGCAACAAAATGTCATCCGAATTGAAATCACGCATAAATTAATTATTCCGACTAACCGGAAGAAGTTGAGCACAAGCCGGGATTACTAACGAAAAGGGTGGAGCTGAAGAGCGAAAGCGCTCGAGTTTAAACTTCGAGCAATGCCCTACCATTATAAACTACGATTGACTATATACAAACACCGCCGGCTCAAACTCTACTATACTCACAATTATTGTAGTTAAAAGTGAAGGGGTATATAAGCCTCTTCCAATTTGAAGTTGATCTATTTCCAAGTGTTAACAAGTGCAATGAAAACGGTAATTTTTTACAATTTTTTAGTGTTTCTTTAACCAAGCTTTTTGTTAATTCGAGTGCTCCAAGTTTAGCCCTAGTTGTGGATTAACACCTTTTGTGCCCTTTCATGCGTCACTTCGCGATTAATGTAGTTGCAGACAATTACGGTCGCTTTAAACGTTTTTTACGTGCAGTGGCCCCATTTGGAGTATGTGATTAATTGGATAAAATCTTAATTAAGTAGATTTATTTTTTCACTAAAACTGTCACTGGTAGGGTGATTACCCAGCACAAACTTTTTTAATAATTGCACATTTCTATTTGCTTTCTTTCCAATTAAAAGTAAAATTATCAGATAGAATTATTAATACCAATCAACTTGATTTGATTTATTGTATTCCAAACGATAATAGCGAGATAAAGTTATAATTACATGCTACAAGTTTTATTGCATTTTCTCAGAAATTCAACTTTTAATACAAGTGCCAAATGCAGTTGCAGTCGTTTTGTTACGGGTATTATGAGTCATTTATTATTATCTACTTCTCGATCTATAAATATTAATTAAATTAAGCAATTACTAGCAATGATTAATAAATTAGTTTTAAAAATGGACAAGATTAAAATTATTGCAATTAAATTTTGTACTTGTATAAATAATTTTTTGTAAAGGTAATTATAGTAATTGTAATGTTTATTACATGTTGAAATACTTGACAAACAAATTCTTAAATCAAAATTAACAAAGCGAAACCGATTAACTAACTTATTTGATCCAACAGAAGTTCTTTTAAATAACGCATGACACAGCACATGACTATAAATATTGTATCAAAAAACATAATGAGAAACTTTTCCATAACAAAAATATGTTTCATTGTGAAAATAACACGCATTAGGTTTCAAGGGCGTTTTCCAAAGCGTAAATCATCAAATTACCAAAAAAATTGCAGAACGAATCCAATTAAATAAGGATATTTGCAAATTACCACTTTACATATTTTTTTTTGTTGCTATTATTGTAGACCCGAACAAATTCTTTCATTCTTGCAGTGTAGCAAATTTTCAGCTCTTGAAAAATATAATTCTGTTCTGAATTTATATAACGTAAAAATAACTGAAGCGTATTCAATTCGAGTAATCGATGAAAAGTTTCTTCATTATTTAATAACAATTTCTAAGAGTTTCCTTGAATTACTAGTTGGTATGGAAAACAAGCATTAATTTTACGTAAGCAAAATATTTTTTCAATGTTGAGGATTTATTATCTCAAGTTTGCTTTAGTTAAATGTAGGCAGGAAAGGTGCAAATAACAAGGAAATGTAAATGATAAACATTTATTTTTCAGCATACCCACATAATAATAAAACTCTTCGATCCCAAGAACAGTGTGCAAGGTGAACATACCGATCGTTCTTAGATAATTATTATAAATAAATAAAGAACAGTCACATGCAGTGGCATTATTCCGTTATTAAACGCATGATTATCTTACATTTGAATTTTAATACTTTCTATATTGGGGTCTAACCTTCAAAAATGGCACTTTAAAGTAAAAGTAAAGCATCATCGTTCAAGTTCAACGATGACAAACCGGTATTTTGGCCTATTGCAACATTAGCGGTTTCAAAAAACTTATCACAAATTAATTAAAAATGATTTAGTAATTTGCAATAATTAAACCAACCAAGTGTTGCATTCAAATGACACATGTTTACTTTTACTTGTGGTTTCTTAACAATCAGTTGATTTGCAACCAAATTTACTTACTTTTAACAATCTTATCAATTATTCTAAATATGGTGTCCTTTTCAAATCGATGCATGCGCATAGATATGCCAATTTATATCGTGCACTTGAACCAATTTTTTTGTATGCTAATACCAATAGTTCAATGTTTGGAATTTCCAATAAAAACACTATAATTAGATATTACCGTAAAGAGAGAGTATTTATCGCCAGAAATTGAAAAATGTTGCTTCTAGCTTTCTCGAGCTTGATCTATTTTTTGTTAAAACTACAATTAGTAAAAGGCGATTGGGTGGGTGATTGATATAATTGGTCACTTTTATCTTTTTATTCATTTATCTTTTAGTAATTAAATGATAAACATTCCAGGCATAATTTAGCACGAGGTTTTGTTTGGGACGTTCACTTACACAAAAAATAAACTAATAATTATGTTTGTTGTACTAAAGTAGTTTAGTTTTCCCTGTGGATAAATAATATTACTGAAAGCATTTCGCTGAATTCTTTTATATCTTTTTGAATTTCGAGACACTTTCTCAAAACGCAAATTGCATTACCGTGAAAAACTGAGTGATATTTCCTTTCAATTTAAAGGTGGGTTACTCAATTGTAACCTAATTTGGCTGCTAAAAAGTAAAGTATTAAGTTAATACATGTAGCGTAAAACATTACAACACATTCAAAATAAATTTATTTGCAGTTTCTGGTAACTTGTTTAGCCTTTCTGGGGCTTCCTTCCGAACAGTCTCGTGTCCTGAAAGCTAAACGAGGCTACCTCTTGGGGGACTACCACGGAGCCCCCGGCGTGGGCTACTCCGACGACCTCTCCATATCACCATCAGGATGGAAAGGTTCAAACACTCTACATTTACACGGAGTACATAACCCTCTTCCGGTTCATTTAGTTAACACCGCCGATTTCAACTTAAACGTCGATTTGCCCGCCCCTCGCCGCCTCCCGCCCCCATCGGTAGTCCACGTTTCCAGACAGGCCTCCCCCATCCACATTCTCTCCTCCAACTCGCTCGAGAAACCCGTCATGGAGTACCAAGAGTACATCCCGCCACAATCCGTCGGAACCGCCGTGTTGCCCCAAATGCCGCCCCCGGCAACCCCCGTCAACGCCGTCGCTTCCAATATCCCCGCGAATCAAGGAGCAGTTTTTCTCGGATCGGGATCTCTAGGAGTCGTGAGTTTGGGCAACGGGGCCTATGCTTTGGGGTCGGGGTCTATAGGGTATTCGGGAAATCGCGCACAGCCTAGACCCACGGGCACTGTTCCTGTCTATCCCCCTTTGCCAGCCTCGCCGAATTTGATTCCTGCAGCTGTGCCAAGTCCTCCACCCCAACAACCGATTGGGTTAAACTATGATTATCCTCTTTTGAATGTTCCTCAAGTACCGCAAGTTGATCAAAATGGGTACGAGTATTTACCGCCTAATAGGGTTGGATTCGGAACTCCTAATCCTCCAAGACCTATTAGAACGAGACAGCAGTTTGCAACACCCACAGCTTTGCAAGTGCGACAGCAAGGACAGCAAATCCCAAATAATTTCCAATTTTCGGTGCCTTTCGGGACCACTGCAGAAGGCGTTTCCTTCGCTTAACCTAATTTATTTCTAAAGTCTATCAACTAGAAGACTTTCGCTTTGTTTAGCCCCAAGTGATAAACCAAATAGGTTAAAACTTAAAATATTTTTCACCCCTTACTGTATCTTTATTTATTCTAGATACTTAACTTGTTAGTCACTATTATTATTACATTAGGTTGTACAATAAAAGTAATATTTTTTATGTCAAATTCTAGAGTAATGTTTTTATGTATTATTGTATAAATAAAATTTGACAAAATAAAACATGTTGCTATATTTTTTATTTTGCGGATTACTGTGCTGTAACACTTGTAAATGATTACGAAAACAAGGGTCATGAGTCATGGTAATGAACTCCACAGATTCCAATAAAAACCGATCGAAAGTACCATTTCTGAAGAAAGTTTTAAGATAAATTTCAGGACAGATTTTCAATTTCCGGGTACACTGCAAGATTGATTTATACTCTGTTTAAACCTTTACAAAGTTCATTCCTGTATTGCCTTATAAGAGATGTCGATTTTATTCTCTTTGAAACTTTTTACTTACTCTTTGTTCCATAAGAAATGGAATTTATATTTTTAATTAGTGTTATGTTTATTTATAATTTAAAATTTCAAGAAAGCTTTCTAATGGCAAGGACTTCCCTAGGAAAATAGTAGAAAATACCCTCATATTAAATGTTATAAAATGAATAATAAATAACAAATGAACGAATTGCTGTGTAAATTAATATAACTAGTAATGGAATAATTAATTCAATAATTAGTAGCGAGAATTGATTATTCCTATTTTATATGTTCAAACATAATTATAAAGTCTTTTAGACGATCAGGAATCATTAATTACAATTTATTTTGGTAAACTAGTTAATAAATCCATTGTATTTTTATACAATTGAGACATAACAATCCATCGTTTATCAAAGAATAATTAATAATCGGTAAATTATTTGTCAAGGTGTGGAAGAAACTTGAAAATCATTTTCTCAGGAAATATTAATTTTGTAAGTTAAATCTAATAAACTTTCTTTTAACTTTAATAAATCAATTTTTACAGAACATAGCTATTTGTTCTGGCTTACCGAAATTATGAGTTTAAAATCTAGAGTAAACCATTTATAACATTTTGAGTTATGAAGATGGTAAATAGAAGCTTGTTAAATACATAAAAAAAATATTGGAAAAGAAAAGAAGAAAATGTTATAAATACGTTGTTTTTATGTAAAATTTATGTTGTATAAACTAGTCAAAGCAAACCTTGAAGAGCCATCTAATGGTGAAATGAACATTCACTCATCTGCGCAAAACGAGATAGGTGGAAGCACTTTCCGAGTATTAATGACGATAAAATAATTCTCTACAATTAAATGTAAATATTTTGGTTTTTCTAGTAAACAATTTCGCAACAAATAAATCACTTAAAAAGTTCAAAGAAAGTCCCTTTCATCTGCGATTTTCTCTTGTTAGATGTTAAATTTGATAATACAATGAACAAGTAACTTATTTATTTGAAATGTGTTAATGTAACTCATTAAAAATTTCTAAAGCTTTTTATTAAGTAACGAAAATTGTGTAAAACCATAGGTTTCTTCAAAAACAGTCTTTGATACAAAAATAAGTTACGAAAACTGTAAAATTGTGTAAATTGCATTTAAATTTCAGGTCATCAGGATAACGCGACAAGTTTTCTTAGATATATTATCGTAGGTTTAGAAAGTTTTTATCGATTTGATAAAAATGCACCTCCAGGTGTTTACAGGTCATAAACTGTAACATATAATATAATCTGAAGGTTTCATGAAAATGTTGGGAAATCCGAGTAATTTGCCTGTTACTCAGAGAATTCTGTTTCATGGCGATGGTATTTTTTTCCGTGACATTTCAAAGTGTTATGTATAGGTGATGCTTACTGCTGCGACCGATATATTCTGCGTACACGCCCTCTTAAGAAATGTGTCGTCTGTGGCTATCTTCCGGTCCCACGTGAACCGGTATTGCGTAAGTCTGAAAGTAGTCCATCTTTCGGGAGTATTCAGCTATAGAAAGGCGACTCGTTTGTGAGACATCAGCCCCCCTTACAATGGTGGTACTTTATGATTTCCAACTACTATAAAAGCTTTAGATGGGCTCAATTCCACACAGTCTTCTGCTGTCCACTCTTTAGTAAAGCATAATGAAGACTACCGTAAGTCGTTTTTCCACCTTTGACCTCGCTCACATTACGTGTTTCAGGTGTTCCTTGTATTGTGCATCGCCGCCGCCCTCGCTGAGGAGAAGAAGACCACGAAACGTGGTGTCTTCGGCGAATCCTTGGGATTGGGTGTTGGGAGTGTGGGTCTCGGACACGGTGGCATCGCTTTAGAAGGTCATGGGTTATCATCTGGGATTTCTGGTGGACTTGTCTCATCCCATGGGTACGGACTGGGTTCCGGGTACGCGACCTCTCTAGGCTCCGGATACACCTCGTCGCTAGGCTCAGGATACGCCTCGTCTCTAGGATCTGGAATTGGGTTAGGAGGAGCCGGAGTTGGGTTAGGAGGAGCCGGAGTTGGAATCGGACAAGGAGTTATCAATCTTGGAGCTTCCGTTTCCCGTCATATCACAGTCACTAACAGAGTTGGTATCCCTATTCCGCAGCCATACCCCGTGACTGTCCATAAAAACGTCCCAGTGCCAGTTCCTCACCCAGTGCCGGTCCCAGTTGATCGCCCATATCCCGTCCATGTACCCAAACCATATCCAGTGCCAGTAGTTAAACACGTTCCTGTTCATGTGGACAAACCATACCCAGTTCCGGTTAAAATCCCAGTGAAGGTTGCCGTTCCAGTACCAGTTAAAGTACCAGTACCCAAACCATACCCTGTTCCTGTCCATAAGCCGGTTCCAGTTCCCGTTCATGAACCAGTGTATGTCAAGAAACCAGTGCCAGTGTTGGTCCATCATGGGCACGAAGAGTATGGACATGGTAGTTATGGGTATGGAGGAATCGGACATGGTAGTTATGGGTATGGAGGAATCGGTCATGGTATTGAACTTGGAGGACATGGAATTGAACTTAGCCATGGAATCGGGTTGGGATCCAGCTACGGATACGGTCATGGGAACAGTTTGGGATCCAGTTACGGTCATGGGATCGGTTTAGGTAGTTACAAATCATGGTAACAACTCTGTGATGATAGTCATTTTCATTCATTTTAAAAATGCCATAAAACATACGATAGAAACTAGTCTTCATGTGGTTTCATGTATTTTGCATTTTCGCATAATAAAGTTATTTTTATACAATATTTACGCATTCTTTTTTCATAATTGACCACCTTTAAAAAACACGTGTTACACTAATATCCTTATTAAGATAAAGCATTCTTCAACTGGTTGTAATTTATTAGTTCGACTTTCACTAGATGGTGCTTATCGGCTTTGCTCTGATCTTTGATAGAAAGTGGGATTTGCTAGAAGTGCCATTCCTTGTTTTCGATAAATATGACTCAACTGTTTTACAAAATAGGAAAAAAATAAAGTCATTACAGTTTCACCCACTCTTGTGTTAAATTATTTTAAATTTATAGTCTGTAATTCTATTTTATTATCTGTTTTACATAAAATTTGCTATCGCTGAAAATAAAGTTAAAACGAGAACTGTGCTACTTTTTCTATAGCCAGTTTAAGCACTTATTCCCATAAAAATCCAAGATTTAAGATTATTTCAGTTGCATTAAAATTTTAATTAGATGTAAATAAAGCTTGCGAAAATTGAAATCAGATTATCTAATTCCCCGATTCATCGATAGAAAAATTATAATCTTATTAATATTTATACATGACCGAATCGTCCAAACTTTCTTTTATCGGAGGAGTGAAAATTTTTGCGATAATATATGAGCTTGAGGTCACTTCGAGACACATTTCCTGGAAGAAGTATTCTAAATACTTATATGAAAGTTAAATTGTTTTGTCGCAGACAATAAAGGCTTGTCTGACACTGGCTGGTAAAAATGAGATTAATGTAGTAAATGGTCTGACGTGACAATATTTTGCAATGGTAAGTTTCTTTTCTTGTATAGTGACGGTCACTTAGTTTTTTTAATTTCACTGTTATATGTTAAATAAATCTAAAACAATTTATGAAAGTTACATGATGTCGCGATATGGAAATGAATGTATTATTAATATAGCGTTTTCGTATTTTTCAAATTCAAATTTTGATTTCAAATAATTAAGAGAAAATTCTAACATATAAAATTGGTGAAAAGTTATTTCATAAATCATTTGTTGCTTCCTGCTTTGGTTTCCGATATACTATACTATGCTACAGAAATCGAAAAAAAATTTTTTACGTACTTTAATCTTTGTACCAATTTTTCAAATGAATTTTTTTTTAAATTGAAAAAACAAATTAAAAATTGAAAACAAAAAGCAAAAAAACATATTTTCTAATGTTTAGTTAATGCAGATTCGCTAAAAAGTATACTTAGTCCGATATTTTTTTTTAACTAGCGTATGCATCTGTTGCACAAAACTCAGAAAAAAATGCTCTTCTTAAAAATATTAAATTTGACCCTTCTGGACATTTAAAAAAAATCAAGTGAGCTTTGTATCTCCAGAAAAAATGGAGATAGAAGTTTGATAAACATCTGAGGCGATGGAATTTAAATACTTTTAAGCATATAACACATTTCAAGAAGTTTTAATGAATAGTTTTTTTTTTTTAATATTTAACTGTATCCATCCTTTTTTAGCGACCCTGTAGAAATAAATGTAATGACTTTTCAATAAATTTTTGAAGAAACAATTTTTTTGATTTTTTTTACTAAAACTAGAAATCTATCTGGATTCTTTGTACAAATAAAAAAGTTGAAAAACAAAAAAAAACATTTAAAAATTACTTAAAGAAATGCTTACACTAACAATATGTCAATCCAGAGTTTTCAAAACATCGTCCTGCAAAAGACAGTTCGAGAGACTAAGAAAGTGTCAGATGTACTGGATTAAAAAATTTCTAGACTTGCAAAAAACATTTAAACAATTCTTAAAGAAATGCTTAAATTAAAAAAATATCAATAGAGAATTTTTCAAAACATCAAATTTTTATATATTTTGACAAAATCAATTTTTTTTTTGTTTTTTAGTAATAAAGAAGATTAAAAATGTTTTCATTTTACATTTTAGTCAAAATAACGATTTAGTAAAAATATGGAGTAGGTTTAGAGTACTGTACAGAAAAACAAATGTCTCTTAGATAACTTTTAGTGTTAAAATACATTCATCATCATTGAGATATATTTTTTGTCTTGTAAAACAAGTTATAAAGTTATACCACTAACTAAACAAGTTTTTGTAATGTTAGTAATCTAACTATGTCTAACTAAAAATACAGCTGAAGTAGAGAACACGCAATTTAACGTTGCTGTATGGGAGATCACCTACATAACAAGTTAAGATTTAACAAATTCGACTGCGACCAGATTCTTCTTAGGAAACCACCAGACTATATAATTATGTAAGATAACTAAACCGAATTAAAAATATAAACTAATACAAAAATATCTTGATAATTATGTGCATTTGTAGTAATGTTTTGTTTTAATTTCCAATTTTGTTTTTTTTTTTAATTTTATACTTATCATTTTTATTAAACGAATGAGATTTAAAAATGTACTTTTTGCATATAACCATCCTAATTGTTAATTACACTCCAGTCATTTTTAAATTGCAATCAAACAGGTAGTAAAAAAGGAAAATTTTAGTGGAAACAAAATTATCATTATACCATAAGTTACCAATAATATATCATTACCGTTCAAGAAAGAAAATAAACGAAATGTTCTACTTAATGCTTGAATTAATACAGTAACAGACAGTTTCAACATACTTCAATCGCATTAAAAATGTGCCTACAATTATTACGTTTCAATGAATTCATTGGTAATAACAATTAATAAAATATTTGTGCAAATCTGGAAACTGCAAAAATTAATTCATCAGTGATGCAAAAAGCAATGAGTAGCATGCATATGAGATTTTTTCACATCCTACGACTACCAGTTTTGTAATAATTGAGCCATTCACCCAATGTCGGGTACTTTATCGGGAAACGATATATTTTAGATCAGATCGGTCATCCGGTAATGCTACGCCTTTCCAATGCAAAAATCTTGTTTCTTAAGTTTAATTTACATAAATTGCAAACATTTTCAGACAAAGAAGATTGCAGTTTTTGCAAACGAATGATATGAAATCGTTTCACAATATATTAAAGCATAATATAGAACAGCATCCGCTACACTTAACTGATTTTACGTAACGTTTGAATTAATAAATAAGAATTACTTATAGATTCTGATTAATATTCTTAATTACATCAAAAGTGCTCTCAAGTCTGACGACCCAGACGGTAAAGTTTCCCATACATACCGTGGTCGATTTTGCGTATTTTTGTCCAAGAATCACCCATAATGACGCCTGGGATAATTTTATTACGTGCAACAAAGCTCAAATAGCAAATCAAGATAATAATAAACTTATTCCAAAACGTGTCCAAAATTGGCCTTTATTGTTTGTTGTGTGTGAACCTTTATTATTACATTTGAATAAAATTTTATGCATTTGCCGAGATGTTAGGGGGAAATGGGAAAGTACTATCACTGTAGGGGAGGATGGACTTGTATATAAAACAGCGGGTACTAAATTGGAACAGACACAGTTGCATCGTCTCTACACAAGCAACATGAAGTTTCTGGTAAGCCATTCACTTTTCAAAATGACGTTGTTTCATCGCCAAAAATTTCCAGGTTTGCACTTTACTGCTGACAGCAGTGTTGGCCGAAGAGTCCGCCAAGAAAAAACGCGGATTGGAGCTTGGAGGCGGTCATTTCGGGGGCGGCATCTCTTTCGGAGGACACGAAGGACTTTCGTTGGGTGGTGGACACGGAATCGGCGGCGGCATCGGTGGCGGCTATGGCGGCGGCTATGGCGGCGGGGTGGAGGAAGGCCACGTCACCCACATCACCCTCCACAAGCAAATTCCGGTACCAATTCCACATCCGGTTCCATATCCAGTGGAGAAGAAAGTACCATACCCTGTCAAAGTACCATACCCAGTCAAAGTCGATAAACCATACCCCGTCCACGTGCCCCAGCCCTACCCAGTCCATATCGACAAGCCCTACCCCGTCAAAGTAGAAAAGACTGTCCCATACCCTGTCAAAGTCCCAGTCAAAGTGCCAGTCCCCGTCAAGGTCGAAGTACCAATCCCTAAACCATACCCAGTCCCAGTGCACAAACCAGTTCCTGTACACATCCCCGAGTACAACATCGTCAAGAAACCATATCCAGTTTACGTCAAGGGTCACGAAGGTGGTTTCGGAGGCGGCGATCTTGGCGGTCATGGAGGTTTCGGAGGGGGTTTTGGCGGTCATGAAATCTCGGGCGGTTTCGGAGGACACGAATTGTCTCTCGGCGGTGGTTTTGGACACCATTAATGTGATATTAGTTTTGTCTTTTGGTCGGTTTAATTATTTCTCTTCAATTATTGTTTGATAGAAATAATTAAACCGATTTCTTGTATATAGTACCGATCACATTATCATCATCCATCTGCGCACATGTCCAAAATTACCACCGATGATATTAATACGGATAGCTTCACTTTGCGAAGAGTTTCCATATTAATTGCAACCAGAAATGACTGTTGCGCAACTGATCATTTTGCCCAAATTTGTTAGATTTGTTTGGAACAAACCTGAACAATTGAACTTATTTGGCAAAATAAATTTGCAACGTGTGTCATTCTCACTTCATCCCTTATCACCTAGTTGTAATCTTTATGTTTTTTAGTTGTGCAATAAACCTATTTTTTCTAACTATTTATTTTTTATTTATGAATACGCAACCATTTCATTTAGCGATTTCATTATGAATTGCTCGGAGGCAAAACTGCATTTGTGGGTTTCATTTAATTAAAAATATTCATTGTGTTCATGCTTTAGAAAAATTACTAGCTAAGTAAATCGCTGATATGAAATTTATTTTCCAACACGAGTATTAATAAAAACTTTGTGTAACTTCCGTATTATATCGTCAGGAAACTGCAAATGACACGATATCGCACTCTGTAAAGATACCAATCTTACAATTTTATAGCACAATAATGTATTTCTAATTAGTATTATTACAGCAAATATGCTTGCAATCATATAATTGTGAATAGAGAAAATTTTATAGTCAGTAAAAAATCTTAAGATACAAACATAAGGTGTATTAAAAAATGTGTTTACGTTTCTAGTTTTTCGGGAAAACATTTCTGGGTATTTTATAACGATTCAAAAAAGGCTTCAATAATAATAAATTAAACATCGATTCATATTGAAATATAAACTAATACTTTTAGTGAAACAACAAACCTTTTTTATTTTGTTCATGTAGTTTAATACCATAATTTTAAGAAACCTAGGTACATGGACTCATTTAATTAAAACTCATATTACGAGCAGACATAAAAATATAAGAAAGTTTAGAAAGGATATTTTAATAAATAATTTTTTCATGCAAACTTATGTACAACATTTAATTATGGTTAATGTAACTACAATTCTGACAATAATGTTTGTGAACATTTTTAGCATTAATTGTAAAGGGCAACACGGAAAATCATGCGATTATTTAAACAATTTTATTTTTGAACCAAATTATAAAAAAAAAATCTAATTACTAATTGACAACATATACAAATTGATGTTTTACATTTTGGAAACTAGAAAGAATAACTAAACCAAGATCATTTTAATTCGGGTCAAGTTTTGGTGACAAATTAATATTTATCTTTTCTATCAGCAAAGTATAAATTAATAATCAATATATATTAGAGACGTATTGTAAATAATGCAATTAATGAATTCAAATAATACTCAGATATGTAATTAGGTACTTTTTTAAGTTAATACAAAGTTTTCATAGATTTATAATTTAAATTCTTTAATTATTTAATAATCTGTGGATCTATATCAAGATATATTTATGGTAAAATTAGAATTAATTGGAAAGAGCGCCTTACGTCATTTGACGTATCAGAAAGAAGTTGAAGTCAAATTGAAAGCACTTCCGCTCTTCCTCATTTTTTACTTATATTATAACAGATGCAAATTTTTTATCAACCAAAAATCAAACACCTTTAACTCCAAAATTTTCCATTCTTATGTAATTAAATTATAAATTGCATCTTAATGTTATTTCTTTTCATTCAGATCAAATTTGTTGTTTAATTTTTATGCCACTTAAAATTTAAGGAAGAAAGCAATTATCCTTTTTATTTATTTCGTGTTCCTCTTACATAATGTCTAATTTTTTGCGCACTTTGTTATAATTATTACAGATTAAAGTGTATTGTTCATGCTGCAATCACTGACTCTTGTGATGTGCAGTTAAATGGAAAGTACTATCACCATAGGGGAAGTTAGAATTATATATAAACTCGCATCTGAGCGCTAGTAATCACAGTTGCATTTCTCATCCATCTGGCAACATGAAGTTTTTGGTAAGAACATTACTTCTAAAGTACTTAACATTCTAACCAATTATTTTAAATAGGTTTGCTCTCTTTTATTAGCCACAACCGCTTTTGCTGATAATGTCAGAGAAAAGCGTGGCTTTTTAGGAGGCCATGGAGGCGGCATTTCTCTCGGTGGAGGCGGCCATGGAGGTAGCATTTCCCTCAGTGGTGGCGGCCACGGGGGCGGCATTTCTCTCGGTGGAGGTGGCCATGGCGGCGGCATCTCTTTCGGAGGACATGAAAGTATCTCTCTAGGAGGAGGACATGAAAGCATCTCTTTGGGGGGCGGCCATGAAGGCATTTCTCTGGGAGGAGGACATGGCGGATTTGGCGGGGGAATTTCTCTTGGAGGACATGGGGGTGGTGGTGGTGGCGGTGGAGGCGGCGCCATCGTCGAAGAAGGACACGTCACTCACATCACCCTCCACAAACAAATCCCGGTACCAATTCCACACCCGGTACCATATCCCGTCGAAAAGAAAGTACCATACCCAGTGAAAGTCCCAGTCGCTGTCAAGGTCGACAAACCTTATCCCGTCAAAGTGCCAAAGCCTTATACTGTCCATATCGATAAGCCTTATCCTGTCAAAGTAGAAAAGACTGTCCCATACCCTGTCAAAGTACCAGTCAAGGTTCCAGTACCAGTGAAGGTAGCTGTGCCTATTCCCAAACCTTACCCAGTCCCAGTACACAAGCCTGTGCCTGTTCATATTCCAGAATATAAAATTATCAAAAAGCCTGTCCCTGTGTTCGTGAAAGGAGGACATGAGGAATTCTCATCTGGGGGATATGGAGGTGGAGAGGAATTGTCCTTTGGAGGCGGTCACAGTTTTAGTTCCGGAGGCAGCTTTGGACATCATTAAATCAAATCATTCATCCTTATCATCACTTTCATTTTTCATCAATCATTCATCATCAAAATCCAATAGCTCAACCTTCGGATTATTATAATATTAACGAGGATTAGCTCCGTTAAAACGGAGAATTTCCTTTTTTGAGACTGGAACCGAAAATGAATTGTTGTGTAACTGTTAATGTATTAAATATCCCTAAAGTAGGGACACTGTATATGTACCTCTCTTTCTTTAAATAAACTAGTATTTTAGATGAAACTGTTTTTATTATTTAACAAATTAATTGAAAACATGTCGACTAACAACTTCCGGATTTTAACTGCTTATGAAAAGCATTACCTGCTCTGTAATTATTATTTTACATACAAAAACAAGAGGCTGCAACAATACTTAATTATTATTTGATCACAGCGACATTTCTTTATGTTACGCTAATTAACGTGCGAACCGGTTTATAGACAAGAACCCAAACAAAGTTTAACATTTACCTAACTGCAAAACTCTGCATTTCTTTCCATTTACTTTTACTAAAATGGTCGTTTAATTACAAATTAATTTTCCCAATACTTAATGTTAAATAAAAAAATTCTATCTGTAATAAAAATTTCAGTAGTATTTTATTCATGTGCTTTATGAGAAAAAAAGATTCAGATTTTTATAAATATTATTTGATATGTATCCTCGTATTTTTTCTCTGCTGTTTTATTATTGGCGGTTTTATTTTTTTGGCAACGATGTCACACAATAAATTAATTAATTAAATAATGATTGTTTTTGTTAGAAATAACTGTATTTTTTAACTTAAACTTGTTTTTTTGAGTTGCCATTTATTAAAATGATGGTTTTCACAAACACTTTTGTAATTTTTTGCGCGATTAGACTTTATTCGATTGTTTACTACGTCTGTTTCTAAGACAGTAAATTGTATTTATTCGTTGCTATCCCAAACTTGGCGGTAAGTATTTAGTTTATTATTGCTAAGTATTATTGCTAAGGACTTACCGATCAGACAATATTGTCTTCGATCGGTAAATATCCTTACCGTTCTTGATGCTTACGATATTTTTTGCGTGATTAATTTTTGTTAATTTTTTAATAAAATATCTAAATGTTCTAGAACGCCAAAATACTTTGGGGATGATTTTGAATGCTTACCGACTTAGCAATAATAAACTAAATACTATACTATAAATAGTATACTATAACTTGCGTAAATTCATTTGTCAAAGTGGCATCGTTGTCAAAAAAATAAAACCACCAATGTCATGTAATTTAAAACGCAGAATAAATTATTACAAATCCAAAATCAAGAGAAAAATAAACATTTCTTCCCACTGACTCAGAATAATAAAGTTTTAATTTCAGATTTGCTCGTTTTACGTGAAGCAAAAAACAAAAAAATGTTTTTCCTTTGCAGTTTTAGTGTAAAATCAAGTATAATTTTTTTTCATTTTGTAATCTCAATCTGAAGCCATATAATATTATAAATTTATATATGATAATATATAAATTTATTATTATTATTAATATATTATTTATAATAATATATAAATTTACCAATCTTTAATGTACATTTTTAATCTTATGACTGTTATTTAGGACAATTTATAAAAGAACAAATAATATTAAATCTTGTTTCTGTAGACAACTACGTTAAGGTCTTTACTAGAAATACTTCCTATGTCCAGTAATAAGTGTCCGATTTCAATGTTTTTCAAAAGTTACACTTTTTATATGTGAACTTTTTGACATCAACTAAAAAGTGTCCTAGTTTTCCTTAGAAGATAAGTTTTTAATCGAAAAACAGGAATTTTCAAAACCTGATATAAAGCTCCGGCCTAAGAAAATAATGGGAGATAAAGAAAAGATTTTGGCAGACAACGGTCGTAAAAAGCATAATTAAACTCTAAACAAAAGGTAAGCAGTTTTTTTCTGAATTGAATTCTGATACTTTGAATAAGGTTTTTCTACTCACAAACCATGAGAGTAAATGGAGGTAACAATTATAAAGTAAGTCATTTGAAAATAGACCATTTACAAAGACTTAATAGAGTTCCAATTTCTATAAAGTTTGATTTTGGACTTTATGAACGTGTATGTACAAGACATCATCAATTCAGTTTAAATAACTCAAAGGACTCCTAAAAATTTTTGAGAAACGTTATGGTATTGTAATTAAGTTAAGTT